TCAGCCTGTGGGTCGTGACCCTTTTGGGGGTCGAACAATCCTATCACAGGAGTCAGCCGATTCACAACAGTAGCAAAATGACAGTGATGAAGTAGCAACGAAAATAATGTTATGGTTGGGGGTCACCACCACATGAGGCACTGTAGGAAAGGGTCGTGGCACCAGGAAGGTGGAGAACCGCTGCGAGGATCTCAGTGGAAGCAAACGGCCCGATCTTCCTCCTGCGGAGCAGTGGCGGCGGCGGCCCTGCTCATCGAGGCTCGACTCTAGTGCAGAGGTCCTCAAACCTTTTAAACGGGCCAGTTCAGACTCTAGTTGAAAAAAATCCCAACTGTGAACAAATTCCTATGCACACTGCACATATCTTATTTTGAAGTAACAAAACAAACAGGGCGAAAACTCCAGGGTTTGCTGGCTTGTTAACTCTTGGTCTCTCTGTCCTCACAGGGTTGTCACCTTCCTCTTAGACGTGCTCATGTCCCCACCAACCTTAACTTCAAACAAACAAAAAGGCCTTTAAGCAAACTGTTCTTCTCTCTGTGTTACAGACCCAGAGCCCAGCCAGGGACACTTGGTGGCTTAGATTTTCTTGATAGGGTAGTTTCTCCTCCCCACAGAGGGCCCTGCCAGCTTCAGGGTTGCTGTGTTTCCTTTTGTAATGTGTGCCCGAGGGGGGGCACCTGATCTCCTCTGATCCCACAGAGGGGAGAGGGGCACCATTGCCATCAGCCCCAGGCTGACTCCTGTGAGGCTGAGGTCAGGTGTGCCCTGAGACATGGCCCTGCACCCAGGGAGACACAGTCTGCCCAAGGGGGGTGGGGTGGGTGTTGAGGCCAGGGACCTGGCCTTCTTTATTTTTATATTCCTGGTGACAGTCTAGTTCCTAGTACCTGGTAAACTCAGTGGTTGGTTGAATAAATGGATTCAGAGTTCATTATTTTGTATCTTTAGGCTTTCTAGTCTTTCAAATGGGAACATTGGTTCCTCTTTGGGTCAATAAACACAACAATAGACATGAAAGCATTTCATTAAAATAGTTTTATTGACATAGAATTCCCATATCAGAGAATTTCATCATTTGGTCATATTGAGAAGAGTTCGGCAGTCATCACCACAATCAATCTCAGAACATTTTCTTCCCGTACTGTTCATTGTCAGCACCTAACTTCCCTTAGCCTTCCCTGCCATGCCCCTAGGTAATTATTAATCCAGTGACTGTCTTTATAGATTTACTAATCCTGGACTTCATATACAAAAAAATCATACAAAGCACAAACTGAGCAAACAAACAAAGTAAGAACTAGACAGAGAAAAAAATCAATTGAAAAGAAAGCAAAAAAATTAAAAACTAAAATATCTTTAAAATGGGTCAAAAGGCAGATCATGATAAAGTGTCACATCTTAGCCTAGTTACAGGCCATAATCGACTTCATAGTGCTCTTTGCTAGCAAGGCTCTTCTTCTCCCTGGACTGTGGTCAGAGGGGATGCCCAGGAAGCTTAATCCATGTGAATCCTGCAAATGGATATTGGGTTCCTACTGTCATACATAGCCTTTTGCAAATCAGGCGTTCAGAATTTAAGTTCTGATATCATTCTCTCCTTTAGATTTGGATTTTATTCTTTGCAATCCTTGGATTGTAATTGTAATTTATAGGCTGGTGTGCTGCTTCTATGGATTTAGCTGACACTTTACTTACATGGTTGCTTGTTTGAAGACAAACCTTTAGGACCCTAGACGCTGTTCTTTCTGATAGCCAGGCACCATCTGGTTTCTTCAGCACACATTGCTATAGCACCCATATCTTCACAAGGGCAGGTATTGAGTAGAACTTTATCCTAAGAACGAACTGTTCTTAAGTTGGGGCTAGAATTCAGTGCGAGCCCCAAGTCCATTCATGCATCTATGGTTTTATATCTCTCACGGCAACCAGTCCCGCAGCATCCTCACAGCTGTCCCTGTGCTGGAGCCCATTGTACTGTGAGTCCATCTCCTTGAGGCCCTTCCTCCTCACTGCAATCGACTCCATAAAACGTAATGTCCTTCTCTGGGGATTAGTCTCTCCTGCCATGTCCAAGTGCACGAGACAAAGTCTCACATCCTCACCTCCAAGAAGCACCCTGGCTGCATTTCTCCCAAGACATGTTGGTTTTTCCTTTTAGCAGTCCATGGTATTCTCAATATTCTTCTCCAGCACCACAATTTACATGCATAGATCTTATTTGGTCTCATTTATTCAGTGTCCAACTTTCACATGCATATGAGGCAGTTCAGTCCTTGAATCAGGCACACCTTAGCCCTCAAAGCAACATCCTTGCTTTTCAGTACTTTAAAGATGCCTCGTGGTTCACTTTGGGGACACCATCATTTTATGATAGAGAACATCAGAAATCATCCCTCTGGGGCATGAGGTAATTCTACGTATGGTGTCAATTTAGTCAATGGTGCAGAATTTAAAACAGTGAGAAAAGGAAATTATACAAATTTCTTGCCTGCTTTTCAGACCACAATACATGAATTGTTGACATGTACAAATTAAACTCTCAAGTGACAGAATGACGGAACACTAGGGGGTGGTGATAGGGTAAAACTTTTAACCCTCATTCACAAAGGCTGAGCCCTACCTCCCAGACGGACGCATGTCGTAAGAAAGCAAGAAGAGCATTAAAACAGTCAATGTACAGTCATCTTGAGGCAGCATTCATTGGCAGCCTCAAGGCAAGAGAGCCAAACCAAAGCCCAGCAACCACCAATTCCATGACCTTGGGATAGCAGTCATTTACTTATGATGTGAAAGCATTTCGAAAAGTACCAAATTCTTGCCTCAGACCTCAATAATGGAGTGATGTGTTTCCAAATCAGAAGAAATGGTGTGAAGTATGAATCAAAGAAAATCGGAAATGCTCTCAGGAGAGACCAGGTCCTAGAAAAAGACATTCTGCTGGGTCAAAGATAGGCCCTCCGAAGAGAAGACTCCAGAAGAGCTGGGTTGACACAGTGGCTGCAACAGTGGGATCACACCATTGTGAGGATGGTTCAGTCCTGTTGTACCTAGGGTTGCTAGAAGTTGAAACTGATTGTCAGCACCTTCCGACAACAGTAGTAAGAAATATTTGACTGTGTGGGTCATAACAAATTGTGGATAACATAGCAAAAAGGGGGCTAATCCAGAACACTTAATTGTGCTCATCTGGGACCTATAACAAGAGGCAGTCACTTGAGCAGAACAGGGATAGGTTGCATGGTCTAAAATCAGGACAGATGTGCATCAGGGTTTTCTTTTACCATACTTAAAATCAGTTGGTATGCTGAGCAAAATCCCAAAAGCCGGCCTACATGATGAGGAATGTGGCATCAAGGATTGCAGGAAGACTCGTTGAGAATCTTCCATTTATAGATGATACAGTCTTGCTTGCTGAAAGTGAACAGAAATTGAAGCACCACCTGGTGATCAGAGTCTGCAGCTTTAAGCAGTGATTACACTCTGACATAAAACAAAAATGCTCACTTTACTGCGATGCCCGGTCAGTGACCATGGAAGGAGCCGTCAAAACGTCACACAACATATTGCATTGGACAACTCGGCAAAAAGAGCAAGTATTTTTTGAAGGCAGTGATGTCACTTTGAGGACAGAGGTCCACCTTACCTAAACCACGTTATAGTCAGTCTTCTCATGCGCCTATGAAAGCTGGCCCAGGGAAAGGGAGAGTGCAGCAGAATGGGTGCGTTTGAGCTATGGTTCTGAGAAAGAATATTGTTAGAAGAATGAGCCAAGCTGTCTGGGATGAAGTACAGCCGGAATGTTTGGAACTGAGGCTGGCAAGACTTTGTCTCGGACGTAGGAGGGCCCAGTCTGTGGAAAAGGTCATCCCACTTGATAAAAGAGGGAAATCCTCACGAGATGGGTTGACACAGTGGTTGCAACAGTGGAATGGTACAAGCCATGATAGTGAGGACGGCACGGCACTGGGCCTTTGCACAGAAGTCATCAGGAGTTAGTCAACACGGACCTGGAGGGGCTGCCCCTTTAAGCTCCGAGGAACCAGGCCAGCAGTGAATGAAGTGAGAGAAGTATTGTGTAGGAGCCCAGGTGGTGCTGTGCGTAAAGCTCTTGACTGCCAACCTGAAGGTGGGTGGTTCGAACCCACCAGCTGTTGTGAGGGTGAAAGATGTGGCACTTGGTTCCAGCCCGGGTTTCTATCCTGGGAATCCTGTCGGAAGCTTTGCTCTTCCTTAGAGGCACCCGCTGTGGGCTGGAATCAAGTCCGTGGCCACGGGTTAAAATAAATATGGAATATCTTTCACACACTTTAGAACTGAAAAGCTTTTTTATTTCAAAGACGTTGAATAGAAAATGGCATCATTAAGCTGATTTTTGTGACTTTTTTTTCTCAATTTAAGTCACTTAAAAGATAAAACATTACAAAAGAGATTTGTTTTGGGGATTTTTACTGTTACCCTTTTCACCTTTAATACATAATTGGGTCATTTCAGAATGTGTTTTAAATAAACTATAGTTACTTAGATTCACTTTTTTGGGGGTAAGCTTTTCTTATGTTAATTTTTTCCAGTGTGGTTTGTTGTGTAATAGAGTTTCTGGTAAGCACATTCTGCCAACATATTTTAACATCAGTAACAAAAAGAATTGCTGTTTGCATATTAACAGAACTTTTGGATGCTTTTCTCAAACATTGAAATTGACCCTCTAGAATAGAATCAGAAACATAGGCATCCCCATTGTAACTATTTCTTATCAAATCAGATAAGGAAAACAGGAACCCCAAATAGTTCCTGAAAAGACATTGTTTTGGTGACCATTTTAAGTAGTCATTGATATAGAGATGCTCTTGAAATATCAATAGAGAACCAGACAAAGTATTAAGACTACCATTAGCAAGATAAAGAAAAGTTTCTGGATGATCGTATTTACCCGAATGTGTCAGATACTCTTTTATGTCAGACATATGAAGTATAAGCAGTCCCTGTTTTTATTTCGGTAGCTGGGTAGCGTATGAGAATCCTGACTTCACGGGAGAACAGTACGTACTGGATAAAGGCTTGTACACCAGCTTCGAGGACTGGGGAGGCAAAAATTGTAAGATCTCTTCTCTTCAACCCATATGTTTGGTAAGTGAAAATTTTTTGTAGGAGGATAATTAACTGAATTGTAGATTTCCTTAATATGTGTTCCTGGTTATAGAATAGTGATTACTGTGGGTGTATTCTGAGTCTGCTTAATAGTAATTGTTGACAATTTGGAAGAAAAGACTTGCTCAAAATTCTACTCATTTCTATTTCTCTTTCTTTAAAAAAACCAAAAACCTCTAGGATTCATTTGCTGGCCCAAGGAGACGAAATCAGGTAACTTAAAAAAAAATTTTTTTTTAATCACCAAAAAAATCCCCACAAAAATTAAAAAATAAGTTTGTTATAATCAAGAGCCTTCCACTTAAAAGGTAAAATTGTACGTGTGAAATGTCAGATATTTGGAGTATTTGCTAATTTCACCCACTTTTATGTGTGAGAGCATAAATATATATTTAAAATAAGGTTTAAATTTACTCTAAACTGAATCAATAGCATTTTGGCCCGTGTCTAAATATTGGTTATAGGATGCTATTATGAAGTAGGGCTGCGTTTCATGTCGTTCCATTGAAGCTGTTTATACGCATGCACTGAGACTAGTACATTACACAGCAGCACAAAGGCATTGTGTTTAATAGTATAATGAATCTTCGTATTTGTGGTGACTGCATTAGACATGCGTTTCTATGTGGTCTCCCTCTCCAGCCTTTTGAATGCTCTCTATATCAACTGAAGTGTCACAGATTTTATTTGGGCTTTTTAATGGAAGTGTTCAGACAGCTCTAATTACAGAGGCGCAAACCCTGCTGTCTTCTCCTTTATTGGCAAATCTTTCTGCATCCAGTAAAGATTCCAGTAAGTCAGCAAGTATCCTCCATTGAAAGGGAGAGAAACTCTGTTATGTGTTTTCAGAGCATCGTTTATTGTTAATGATGAACAATTACTAGGACCCACAGCAAAGCTTTACAATTCTCACTGATTAGGACAACACGGTGGTGGAAGCACAGGTGAGCTTCCCACTGCTGCATGGTCCTTTGATGTCTCCGAATGATGCAGCCAACATGCTCCTGGCTCATCATTAAGGTAGAAATAGAAAATTAAAGGCTTTTAAAAATGCACAACAGTTTACTGTGACAAGAGTTAGCAACTGGGTCGTGCTTGGGCCATTATTTTAAAGTCCGATAGGGTTCACGTGTTTGGGAAAATAATTTTACATGTTTCTTTATTTTTTCAAAGATTCACTTGTTTTCAGAAGCACAGTTTCAAGGTTGCAGCCAACAGTTTGAAGAAACGACAAATCAAATTGATGACTCATTTTCTGCGAAATCGTGTAGAGTTTTAGGAGGCAGGTATGTGGCCAACAGAGAACACATTTGGTGAGGGAATATAAAATTCGCGCATCAGGAATTACAAGGGCGTTTCGAAAAGTTCATGGGGAAAATTCTGTTTTCTTCTAATTCCATTCTTTTCTCATGAACTTTGTTTGGTAAGCACCTTCCTAATTAGCAACCCCTGCTAGAAAATCAGCACGTGGTGCAGCCTCTGCGTGCCGAGGACACAGGGCCCGTGGTGGGCTGGGGGCGTCGGATGTAACGGAATTCACACCAGCCTCTAGTTTTGTCTGCTACGAAGTAGCTGTCCCACTCCAATCCCATTACTCTCTCTGGACCTGTTCCGGTCACAGATCATCTCTGTGGCCCCTGCCAAAGCAGCTGTTCTTCTAGGTAGATTGGAGTAGGACAGACATTCCGGGTGACAGGAACATGACGGAAAGTGTGGCTGCAGGACAGACACCCTGTGTGTTTGCTGCTCAGTGAGCACGCCAGCCTCTCTGGTGGTGGTGGTGGGGTCTGCCTTTGTTCTGGGTAGAGGGGAAGCAAGGGTAGGCAGGAAGGGTGGGATCGGGTTGTGAAGCCCCTTCTGAGCATTTAGGTGGGGAAAGGCAGTGAGCTCCTAGCGCACGCTGCAAACTGAAGGGCGATTTATGGGAGGTCCAGTGAACTGGAGAAGCCATCGGAACACAGTCTATTGAATGAGACTTTAATTTCAATGATAGTTATAGTAAAATACCACCTGGAATCAGAGTTCTTTACCATCTAAATAACTCAATCACATGCCCTTTAGCATTGCTTCCAGATAGGAACCTAACTTTAAGAAAGCTTCACCCTTTATTAGCACGTACCTCCTGCCCAACCCAGGTTCTATTTATTCTTTAATGTCTCACCTCCTCACCTCGTGAAAATATAAACTGTGAGAGTAATGTTCTCTGCTCCATCCTCAGCCTGGAGAAGTCCCCACCCAATTGCTGTTAGCTGCCAGGGACTGGATTCTGAGTCATGGCAATGCCACACAGAGCTCAGCTCCACGGGATTTCCTTGGCAGATTGCCAGGATCAATCCTCATACCTGCTGGGTGGGTTCAAGTCACTACCCTCAAGGTAACATGCGCACACATTTGCGCCACCAAAGGACACTGACTTGAGAATGGGGAAACTGCCTACTCCTGGAAACAGTGTTAGTCTTGGAGGCCCACAGGGACAGTTCTACCCTGCCCTGCAGGGTCTCTCTCAGTTAGAATCGACTCCGTGCTGTGTGTGTGTGTGTGTGTGTGTGTGTGTGTTTTCACATAAACAATCATGAGTTGCCTGTCTGAAGGCAAGTCTGGGTGGGTTCGAACCACCAAACTTTTGGTTAGTAGCTGCGTGCTTACCTGTTTGCATCACCCAGGAGAGATTAAAGCAAAGCAAAACAAAAACGTCTAGAGAAGGATGACAAATTATCACAAATGCTGACTGACGTCCAGAGAGGAAGCTCTCTCAGTCACTCTAGTATTTTGACCTGGAGCCTGTGCAGAGACACGGAAGTAAGGACAAAGGAATGTTCGACCAAGTTTGAGAGGAAATGCATATGCCTCTGTGACTGATCCACAGAGAGGACTCCGAGTTTGGAGCCACACGGGCTGGGAGAATGGTGACATCCATGAGTCGGGGCTGGGAAAGCTAGAATGTGAAGACATTAAAACATGGATAATTTCAAGAAAAAAGCCATTTCATTTCCCAAAAACAAAGTTAATGAGTGACTTATAATAGGATTATGCATCTGTCGTGAGATGGAGTGCAATAAATGTAGCCAGGCATTTTTGAAGAGAGAACCTTGCCAGACATAACTACTGTGCTTTATAGTAGGCTCGCTCCCAGTGTCAGCCTTCTTGAGTCAAAAAACTCAAAATTGCCTGCATGATTTTTCCTGCTCCAGCTGGGTCGCGTATGATGGCGAGCACTTTTCTGGTAACCAGTACGTGCTGGAGGAAGGCCACTATCCTTGTCTCTCTGCAATGGGATGTCCACCCGGAGCCACTTTCAAGTCTCTTCGTTTTATAGATGCTGTGAGTATGAGCGCCAGCAGGGCTGTGACCGCATGGAGACGCGGGAGGGCAGAGCAAGGAGGCCAGTAGATGGGCTTTTTCAGGGCCTGAGTGGGAGACAGTAGGCTTGACTTGTCTTAGATTTCTGGCTTATCAGTTACTTGTATCTGCTCGTTTCTCAGGCTTAGGGGGTCGAGTGTTGACTTTGTCGTGGTGCGCAGGCAGAAGCCCCCTCCAGGGTGCTTGGTTTTCAGTCCCCACTTCATGCCTGAGCCCTGTCTCTGTGCCTCCTTCACAGGCACCCATCCGAATGTTTTGAGAAACAGCTTGGACAGTCTTGTAAAATTGGTGTTTTAGAAAGATCTGTATATAGGCTTTTTTTCCCTTTAATCAAATGACATTTTATTCTTAGTCAATGTTTACATAATTTAGAGCCTCCTTTGACAATTTCTGTACAAATTAATTGATGACATGCGTTACAGTTCTCATGTTGGTGCATACAGGCTTTTAATTTAGATAGCTGGTATTAGGCTGTAGTTCTTGTGTTATAAGACATGGCTCAGTGCTTACATATGAAATTTCAAAGCTTCCCATTTTTCTATATGTCCAGTTTATTGATTCCACTGGTTGCAAGTATGCCATTACCATATGTTATTATACACCCATCGTGTGTGAGAGGCTCTTGGGGATGTAGATTAACTGCGGGCACTCGGGAGCATGAATATTCCGTTTCACTAGGGCCTGCCAATCCCACACCTGCTGGCAGGACAGAAGGTTTCCCTTCACCACCCCATTGCCACTACTGAATAGCACCGGACTCTCTTAATTTTTGTTACTTTGGTAGGATAGGGAGAAAGTATTGCTTCATTGTTGTGTCAGTTTGTGATTCTCTCACTATTAGTGAGAATGAAATCTCAAACACTTATTAGCCCATTTCTGTTTGGTGAATTGTCAGCTTTTGCCCAATTCTCGGTTCTCTGTTTCTTTGTTGTGGTTGATGCGCAGAGATTCCTTAGAGCTTTTTAATGGGCTATTACTCTCTCATGGTCAAGATCTGCAGTCAAATGACTTCTCCTAATTTATCCCCCGTGTGCCAGCCCAGAATACCATGCACCTTTCTGTTTTCCCTACACAGATCCTTAGTATTGATGTAGTTGAGGCAACCAACAATGGAGCACACGGGCACTGTAGCATTCGGTATTAAAGTTGGGTGTGTCATTTTGGAAATTAGCTTTTGGTAGCTGATCTCTCATAAAAAGAGATGTACATGTTTGTAGCTTTAGAGGCAGGAAGAAAACACTCATGGGTAGCCTTGATGCCATCCCCTCCTGCCTGTTTGAATAAAGTGTTCATCTTTTTTGAGGCCTGAAAATAGCAGTGAACTCTGGTGAACCGTGTGGTAAGATTCATTAGTTTACAAGGAGCGAACTGAGACTTTGATATTCGATTAAGATCATATATGTGAAAACAACAAACTTCAGATGAGTTGATGCCTTCCCTCAGCCAGAACGTGGTATCTCTGTCCACATCACCTCTTGCAAGGATGTCCTTTCAAGTTTTGATTACTAAGAGGATATATCTTAACTGTGATCTAATACTTCAAATGATTCATTGGTGTTTGATATTCCACTTGACTGTTGAGAACATTTCCGAATATCAGACGCATGGAGTTGGGAATGCTACTGCTCCTGCTGCGCTGGCGCTTCTACCTTCCATCTGGTTGTAGGGTTTTCTTCTGGCGTGTTCTCTATAGCCGAGTTCTTGACCGCACAAACCACCTCCACACGCTCCCTGCTTTGCTGATGATCTAAGACATCTTTTTGACACGCCAGGGCACATCCACATAACTGAAGCATCAAGGGACTGCACCCTTGCCACAAAAATCTAAGCAGGTGGGGAAAGAGTTGTAATTCCAGGTGCTTTTTTTGATGTATCATTTTATGATCTTAGGAATTTTTTGTTACAGTCTCATCTAGGATCAGAAAGATCTTTGATTAAAAAAAAAAACAGGCGTCAGCGACCAGCATTCCATTTGTCTGTTCATCCGTGGACACCTGTGTCATTGTCCTTTATAGCATGAGGACCGTCTGAGCAGAGGACATCCACACTGCTCTTCTGTTAATAGTTCTTTAGGACACACGTTGTCTTTGTTGACAATTAAATCAGGAGGCAGAAAAAAAGACCTGGAAATACAGACAAGGCAAAAGTCGCTTCTTCCATAGGAAGTGCCGTGCCGTCGTGGACACCAGATTACCATGGCCCTAGACTTGTCACCTGTGACCATCACTGTCCAGCCCCTTGTGTCCCAATGGGACGTGACTAAGTTGGGCAGAAACATCAGAAGTACTCAGACACCAGGCATGCACGGCCCCATCCCTCTGTGTTTGATATATAGAATTTCTGCTTTGTAACATTATTTTTGCCCCTTTCTCTGCATTGGAAAAGTGTCCCGCTTCTACATATTGTCCTTTAAGTTCTCTTTCTTTCGCTAGGCTTAGAATGAGAGGCATCAGGGTTGTCTGGGAAGACAGTTTATAGCCAGGGCACATTTGACCAGATCCTAGGCTTTGTATTTTGTGCCAAGATTGATTTGACTGTAACTTTGAGTTACCATCAAAGATAAAGAGCAAATACCATTGTGTTGTTTTTGAACAGGAATTTTCTGAACCAACAATTATTCTTTTTGAAAGAGAAGACTTCAACGGGAAAAAGATTGAACTGAACGCAGAAACGGTCAATCTTCGGTGCCTGGGATTCAACACTCTGATCCGCTCTGTTCAGGTTATTGGTGGCATGTAAGTGCGTTACCTACCTGCTTATTTCATCAAGTCGATTCTCTCCAAAGTGGGATTTAATTAGGTGGCTTTCTCTTATTTTCCCGTAAACTACCGTAACTGGCACTTAACCCCTGGTCTCACTGGCGAGCATATGATCCCCTTTTGCATGACACCGTGGGTACCGGTCAGTCTGCCAGCAGCTGACCACACAAGCAGAGACTAGCAGATGTTCTGAAAAGTGGATAGGTGGGTTTGAGAAGATTATTTTCTCTCAACTTTGAACACTGTGGACTTGATAAGGTATAAAAGCAAATAAGGACTCTCCTGTCATTATCATCATAAGCCCAGCCCTGGGGCTGTAGTGATTGCATGTTGGGCACCTAACTGCAAGGTCAGCAGTTTGAAACTATCAGCCACTCCTGCGGAGAAAGATGAGGTTTCTACTCCTGTAAGGACTTAGTCTTGGAAGCCCACAGGGGCAGCTCTACTCTGTCCCCTAGGGTCGCTGTGAGTCAGAAGCGACTCAGAGGCAGTGAGTTTGGTTTGGTCAGTTAAGGTCCCACCCAGAACAACCCTGTAGGACAGAGCAGACCTGCCCCCAGGACTTTCCAGGCTGTAAGCTTTACAGCAGCAGACTTCTCCCACGGGGCGGCCGCTGGGGGGTGAACTGCAGACCTCTCCGTGAGCAGCCAGGAGCTTCCCTGCTCCTCTGCCACCAGGGCCCCTCTTCAGTGGGAGACATGTTCTCTAAGAAAGGGTCTTCTTTCACGCACACAGCACTAGGGAGTTAGATTCTCTGAGTGGGCATCAGATGGTGGCATAGGCTATAACTATTTTTGAAATCACGCAATATTATTAGGGTATTGGAATTAAGGCAAATTTTTCCAGCAAGTTTTAACTGATAGTTTTGTTTTTATGATAAGGCAGCTAGCAAGCTAACATTTTTGAGTCTAGAATTAAAGTAGAAGACAGTCTCTTTGGCGTCATAAGGTGGTTGCGTTGCCCGCCTGCCAGTCTGTGCTTGAGCATGTCCCCCAGATGTGCAGCACCAGGCTCCTCTGGGTGGACAAGACCCGAGGAGCACCAGCTGTTTCTGGGTGTGGACAAGATGACTCTGGTTCTTAGGCAAAAATGCACTGATGTGTTTGGCTCTGGACTTGTTCGTTTTTTAACTATCACTTCTGTATGGAGCACTTCCAGGTTGACGCTCAGGACTTCATAAACATTAACTATTTGAAGAACTTTCAGATCCATTCATACAAGTGGTGATGGTTAGTAAGCAGCTCACAGGAAGGGCGGGGCCAACCCACTCACACCTGGTCTCTAGTTCGTTGATTTATTGGTGGAATCGGAAAACACGCACCTATTTTCCTTCAAGAATGGCTCTTTTGGGGTATTAATTCTAACAGACCAAGAATTTTCCATTTGCCACAAATGGATGCTTTAAGAGTTAGAAAATAAGGCAGTGCCCTTTTTCCTAAGGCGTGTTTAAAGCACAAGGCTCACTCTGGAAGTTGGGAGCAATCTAAAAATAAATATAATCCAGTCCCTTGTCAAAGGGAAATTGCCACTGACTTTGGATAACTGTTTTTCTTTCAGATGGGTTACTTATGAATATGGCAATTACAGGGGTCGGCAGTTTCTACTCTCCCCGGCAGAAATACCTAATTGGTATGAATTCAGTGGCTGCCGCCAGATAGGCTCTCTAAGACCTTTTGCACAGGTATTTTTTTCTTCTCCATAATTTGACTAAGTCTCCTCTCTGTTTTTTTAATTTTTATTAATACAGCTCAATTTTTAGTTTCAAACTTGTTTGAACTCGGTCTGTACCCCACCCCCACCCTCTTCCCGAATTGAAGCCGTTTCTGATGCCAAGTGGCTGCGGCTGCTAGCCCACATCTCACTGCTGGGTTCTGTTGGCAGACTCCGGGGGCGGGGGCTCCCTGCTCCACGCCCTTCTCCTGGTGGGGCTCTTACAGCCTCTGGGACTCTGGGGTGGAGAACGTCCCTCTAACTCCCAGCAGGGGATGTTTGCTCAGTGATCCTAACGGTTCCTCAATATGACTATTGTTGGGGTTTGTTGTTGTCTTCTAGAAACGGATTTACTTCAGACTTCGAAACAAAGCCACGGGGTTACTCATGTCCACCAATGGAAACTTAGAGGACTTGAAGCTGCTCAGAATCCAGGTCATGGAGGATGTTGGTGCTGACGACCAGATATGGATTTATCAGGAAGGCTGCATCAAATGTAGGGTGAGCTTTGAGGATGAGAGGAGGGTGTGGGTCCCTGGTCCAGCAGGCCGCTCCTCCTTTGCTGTATCGACCTTTGACCTTTCGTCAGGTGGATGCGAGTTCATGGTTCCTGGAGCACTGTCAGGGGTCAAGTAGGATTTTCTTTTCTTTTCCAGGAAAATAGTTCTTCGTGGTGATAAAATCCATTTTAGGAACTTAAAATGGGAGCTGAATCGAGCACTACTCAAGCTCTTTATACCTGTGCTTGATTGGGATATAGTGACGGACTGAGGGACGCCTGGCGGCTGCTCTCCCCTTCCCACCTGTTTGCTGCAGAAATGAGCTATCACTGCTAGCACGACCCACAGTGCACACTCCTGGTTGAGTTCTATTGGGGAAGCTCAGTGGGGACAGCCCGGTCCACGCCCAGTTGTCGCACCTCACACAGTGCCCGCTCCCGCTTCCTCTTCCCATTACTGCCGGCAGGAGACGCATCTGAAGGTGGAATGTAGTCATGTTTCATGAGTGAAGATTATGCTTCAGTTGTAGATAATCCCCCCCTCCTTTTTATCACTCTCCCCATTTTATGGGCGTGACTATTTGTGTCTGAGCTAAAACAGAACAACTTGGTGCCCCATGAATCATCCTGTGAAAGGGAGCACAGCTTGTTCACTGGGTCTCCTATGTTTGAGGGAGAATCATCCTTTCCGTAAACAAGGGGACTGTTTTCACATGCAGAGCAGAGACAGGGAACATAAGAAGAAACAGAAAAAGAAGCTGCCAGATTCTGCCTTTGAATGGTCTCTACTGGAAAGTGTGGCTTTTGCCATTTACTTCTAGTGACCATTTCATTGAGGCCACCTGACAGCTTAGAATCCAGTAGGTCAGTGGGATGTTTAAAGCACCCTTGATTGCCACCACCCTTTTATTTCACTAGAGTGATGTGTTGATAGGAAGGAACCATGGTAGCACAACGGGTTAAGCACTCACCAGTTTGAACTCATCAGCTACTGTGTGGGAGAGAGGCGGCGGCCTGCTTCCATGAAGAGTTCCAATCTTGGAACCCCCAGAGCAGTTATGTGAGTCAGAATTGACTCGAGGACAGTGGGATTGGGTGTGGGTTTGGAGAGCGATATATTCTAGGCCGGGTCGTGTGAACAGCATTGATTAAATATTAAGGCACTGTTTCCCAAAGTGGGTGATAGGAGTGCTGGAATAATTGGGGGGGAGGGAGGCGGGAGGAGTTGCAAAAACAGGTGACAGACAGACAGACAGAAAAAAGAGGGCATTACACCAAATAAGTTTGGAGACCTAAGTATTGAGGGAGACCCTCTGCAGAGAAGGCCCCATAAGCCTGTGCATTCAACCACCCTCTAGTGATTTGCGTTTTCTTCTTCCTCTTTCTAGTTCCACAGCGTAGCTTTTTAGAAAACTTTAGACTATGCTCATGAAAGAAAAGCAGGATAAGTTAATATGTGCAATTTCAAGTTTCACAAAATATCCTTTTAACCGCTCAAGCGTCTTCCGCATGTGACGTACCGCCACGTGAACAGAGGCGGTGTTGCTGGGAAATTCAGCTCCACCACCCTCAGGCGGCAGTCATTTCTGGGAGGGAGAATTACCCTCCTGGGCAGGTTCAACATTCTAAGGCAGCGGTTTTTAACGTATGGGTCCGTGACCCCTTTGGGGGCTGAACTACCCTTTAACAGAGGTTGCCAGATTCATAACAGTAGCAAAACGAGAGTTATGAAGTAGCAACGAAAATAATTTTATGGTTGGGGAGGAACTGTATTAAAGGGTCGCGGCATTAGGAAGGTTGAGAACATTGTTCTAAGGCTTTCATCCTGGTGAGGTAGTCTCACAAGAGGGCACTTTCCGTTTCTTAAAATGGACACGAGAAGACAGCGTCTTCACTCAGGCTGCATGAAATCAAGAGCCAAAGCATTCGTTGTTGGACTCCAACTGCTTTGGCTGGAAATTGAAATGTCTCATATGAGTAAATGAAGCTAGGAACAAGAGAACTTAAAAAGCCAACTTCAGCAGGGATAGCCTTGCGATGAGACGCAATTGTGTTGTCCTTTCTGAGATGCCTTGTCTTTTCCACCAAGCAGATAGCGGAAGACTGCTGCCTGACGATCGTGGGCAGCCTGGTCACCTCCGGCTCCAAGCTGGGCCTGGCCCTGGACCAGAACGCGGACAGCCAGTTTTGGAGCATGAAGTCGGACGGCAGGATCTATAGCAAGTTGAAGCCACATTTAGTTTTAGATATTAAAGGTAAGGATCCTGGGTTGTCTTTATTGTAATGTGCTTTTCTTTACTCAACTAAAAATAGGTGGTATGTTCCACAACCGTGTTCTCTTAGCACTTGAAAAGGACGGTGTGAGTATCACTGGTAATAGTAACAGAGCCCGTCCTCCAGGCTGGCCACTCACTCACTGTGCTGCGCACTCTGCATGCGTTATTTCATGCCCTCTGCACAGCGACCCTATGAGGTGAATGATATCTATCACCCCTGGTTTGACAGCCAACAGAGGGAGGGGGGAAAAGAGGAGCTGACACCAAGGGCTCGGGTTGAAAGAAAAAGATTTGAAAATGATGGCAACATATGTACAAATGTGCTTGATACAATCGATGTGTGGATTGTTATAAGAGCCCTCCAAAAATGATTTATTCAAAAAACCCAAAAAACTGAGGCTCAAGGGGGCCAATTTGGCCATGATCTCACACCCTTAAATGAATCTGACTTCTAATCATTTGTTCTATTATTAACAGTGTTAGATTAAAAAGCACAGCTAAAGATTGAAATGAATCTGGCTTCAAATCATTTGTTCTATTATTAAGTGTTAGATTAAAAACCACAGCTGAAGATTTGTAATCTCGGGCAGTATAGTTGATGGTCCTTGTGCATGTTTGTGTGGTCTTTCATCGAAGGATCTAGAAGCCCAGGTTTAGTTGGAACCTGTGTGCAAAGCTGGCTAGTCTGTAGCAAATTAGTGGTGCCTGGAGAAGCAGCACATGCATGGTGACCCCTGCTCCTCAGACGTGATTGGCATCAGAATCACCGGTGGGCTTTCCTCACGCCTGGGCAGCCGGGCTGAATCCTCAGGTGCCCTGCTTCAGACAGGTGGAGTGGAGCTTGACAACTTGCATTTCTCACAGGTTCCCAGGTGATGCTGCTACTGCTGCCTGGCCTGGGGGCCTCATTTGGAGAAGCCACTAGTGATGGTTTCAAAGCAACCTCAAGCAGACAGGAAATCCAGTGAACTGTTGTTGCAACAGAGAGAGGGGCCGTCTTGCTCCCACACAGATTGACAGCCTTGGAAGCCCCTGGGGCCTTCGGCTCCCCCCTGGCCTGTTGTTATGAGTCCCAAGCCACTGGCAGCTGTGGGGTTTTTTGGTTGTTTTGGGTTCATTGTTGCCTCTGGCAGGCAGATGAAGAGTGTGTTTTACTCATGTCATCAGGGTAACTTTGCTTCACTTATTGACAGGCTCTGTTGTATTCCCTGTCAGGAAAGCCGCACGGTTGTGTTTCACCGGGGAGTGAGTGGTGAGAGTGCAGCTGTTCTGGTCCACGGACTTCATTCTAGGTCGTGGCACAGAGTTGGCTGGGTGTTCATCCTGGCTCTGGGCCAGCAGCATTTTTAACTGAAATTTAAGGTGTGGGGTAAAGAAATAGCCTCAGTCTGTTTCACAGTGGCTTTCCCGGGAGAGTGGTGACGAAGTCGGCGGAGCATGTGTCATTGGGCCTGGGGAAGGGAATAACTAGGGAGAAGCGGCAGCTGAGTCAGTGCTAGAGGCTCTCCAGGTGGGATGAGCCGCCAGTTGGTTTAACAATTGGGTTAGGCTTCACAAAGTCCCTGAGAAGTTGGAAAGTGCTAGGAGGCACACCGGTTTAAATTTAATGAAGGCAAAGGCAGAGTAGTACCGTATTGGGGAGCACGGGCCAAGCTAGAGACCAGCAGTCATATGAAAGCAAGTAGGACCCTGGGGGAAAAGAAAATACGTGCAACTTCTGAAAATGGATGGTAGCAAGTGCCATCGCTCTTTCACGGTACGTTTGCTGTACTAGATGTGCTATGTGGACAGGTGTACCACGGCCATTTTGCAGGTAACCCATCTGAGACTCAGGCGGGGGTAAGAATCTGCCACTAGGCCTCTGTTTACTCTACTTGGATCTACGCTGTTGATTCGGTAGTTTCAGAAACTTCCTGAGAAGCCAAGAGAAGTGACTGAGCTGGGGAATGGAGTTTACGATAAAGTGAGAAAAATTGGGCCGTTTAGTCCCAAAGGAGAAGGTTGCACAAATGTGTAGGTTCATGGTTCTTACAAATGTAACCACTCCTGTGTCCAGAGTTACAGTTGCAGTTATCTTTGGGGGTTAGTTCTTACAGTATTTCTTCACTTACTCTTTCAACAAGCATGTATTGAGGACCCACTATTTGGCAGGCTCTGTGCTAGATACTGGAGGCACCGGTGAGTGCAATAGATCCTCCTTGGCTGCACAGAAGTGACAGGCTAGAAGCTCCAAGAACATTGGATGTTTCTTTCACTTGCCACCTGGACCAGGAGTAAGGACCCCTGACTTCCAGTCTTGGCTCTGGCATGATCTGAAGAGGACTCTAGGAGATTCCTCCTGAGGGCTTTAGGAGCTTTGTGTACCTCTTGAGGAAAGAGAAATGATGGCCTATCAATGTGTACTGCAGGGTCAGTTCCAACTCCCAGTGACCTGTCCCATAGGGCTTCCAAGGCTGTGTGTGTGTGTGTGTGTGTGTGTGTGTGTGTGTGTTATAGAAGCATATTGCCATGTGCGTCTCCTGCAAGGTGACAGGTGAGTTTGGTTAGCAGCCAAGAACTTAACCACGGCACCATCGGGGCTCCTTGGTAGCTGCTCTGGTTACCTTACTCCTGGTGAAGCTAAATTTAAAGATCTCAATATGGGAGAATGATGCCATCTTGTGGACTTGAGTGAGCAGAGCCACGTATTGCACAAGCACTGTGTGCAAGAGAAGGGTACCTACCAGGAGGCACCTACTATTGAGCCTTGGGTCTGTACTGCAATGGCAGCAAGGTTTAGGACAACCACAGTCTGTCTTCTAGCCTATCTGCCGTGTTTGATGACTGAGTTGGTTTGGTAAACAGTCACATATTAGTTCTTTCCCAGACCACATCCATCATGACTTTAAAAAACGGTGGTAAAAATCAATTGTCTGGGATGATTTGAAATCCCAAAAGCAGAAAGATGAAGCAACTTATTTCCCAAGAACTTTCTAGTCTCCATTTGGATTTATGTTGCCATATACACAACAACTGATAGGAAGGTGCATATAATCATGAAGGAAAAAAAGATAATGTGACATTAAGATAATACTTTGTGAAATCTCACTGAAGTATTGTCTGGTTTGTGTAGTAGGGCACGGAAGTAGTTCTGGTGGCAACTTTTTCCCCTTGCAAACTCACACATCAAGGTACACGGCACCTCGTCCTTGTATTCTCCACCACAACACCTGGCCGCATGAGCCCTGGTGGCCTCGTGGGTTACGCACTGGGCTGCTAACCACAAGATCAGCAGCGTGAAACCACCAGCTGCTCTGAGGGAGAAAAGTGAGGTTTTCTACCTCCCTAAAAAGTTAGTCTGCGAAATCCACAGGGCTGTTAGACTCTGTAGCTGAGTCGGAATTGACTCTGACAGTGAGTATACCTCGCCAAGGGGAAACCTGGGGATGTGGGTTGAGCTGGTTACACAGTCGACTGCTAACCACAGGGTTGGAGGTTCAAACCACCAGCCATTCCTCGGAGCTTTCTGCTGCCATAAAGATCGATAGACCTGGAAACCCACAGCAGCAGTGCCTTCTACCCTGTAGTGTATGCTCACTGTGAGTCAGGATCAACTTGGTGGCAGCGAGTTTGAGGGAGCCCTGGTGGTGTAGTGGTTATGCATGTGGACTGCTAACCACAAGATCCTCCTTCCTTGGGAGAACGGTGAGGCTTTTTGCTCCCTAAAAGGCCCAAAGAGTCTTGGAAACTCACAGGGTCAGTTTTACCCTGCCCCATAGGGTCACGGTGTGTTGTCATTGACCTCTGGCACTGAGACCTTGATCTGGCTAGAGGCAATAGGTCCTCGGTAATGGTAAACCCCTTATTACAAGAGGGGTGTGAGAGATTGCCCTTTCCAGCTACTTGGATCTATGATGTAGGTTTTCATACTTTCTGATGTTTGATGAATGCTTTAAAAGGAGGTATTTCTCCTTGGCCTGAGAGCACGCTGTGGTCTCAGATACCAGCCATGCTCCCCGCCCCCTGGTGGACGCACAGGCTTGTACTGCGCTGGGGCTTTGGTAGCATAATCTTGGTGCAGAGATGGATGCTGACAAGAGGGTAAGCTATCTGAAAGGATGTTGATTCCACTCTGGAGAAAGCATCAGATAACCCTTTCTTGATCATACTTCTCCGTCCTTTAAGGAGAGGCCATGATTTAACCACTAAGACATTTTAAATCTCCAGTACCACCCTTGGAAATTTTTCTTACCAACATTCTGGTGGAAAAGGAATTGACGAGGTTCATGATACTCACTTGTGTTACAGCACAGTGGAACTCGGCAGCTTAAATGCAACGAATCCTTACGCACCACAGCCTGGGAGCTCCCTGCCCATTGCAAACATCCTCTGTGGTCTAACAGAGAGCTGTGCTCCATGGTTTGCTTCAGTCACTTACTTTTGTTGCTGTTAGAAGTAGACATAGCAAAGCACATACATGTTCAACAGTTTCCGCATGTACACCACAGTGGCCCCCAAATAACTGGTCTCGCCTCCCTTGTCTGAGTCCTTCCTCCTCTGCCACCAACATGATTTCGCATCCCCCAAGCTTCCCAGCGGTCCTTTAGAGTTGCCGTGGTCAGGCTGGTCCCGCATTGAGAGTTCTTTACAGAAGTCTATGGAGCTCAGAGCAGACAGCCTTTACTAATTAAGCTAAACTATTGTTGGTTTAAGGAAGGCTTCAGAAGATATTTTTGGTTTCAGGTTTAAAGATTATGTGAGGGCACGAGTTTTTTGGAGTTCATTCCACTTCAGCAGCTCCAGAAAGTGCATCTTTCATGAGGATTTTAAACATCTGTTCGACATTTCCCCTCTTTTGATCAGGAGTCTTCTCTAGAATCTTTTTTCCCCCAATCATTTTATTAGGGGCTCATACAACTCTTATCACAATCCATACACACATCAATTGTGTAAAGCGCATTTGTACATTCATTGCCCTCATCCTTTTCAAAACATTTCCTCTCCACTTAAGCCCCTGGCATTAGGTCCTCATTTTCCCCCTCCCTCCCTGTTTCCCCCTCCCTCATGAGCCCTTGATAATTTATAAAGTGTTATTTTGTCATATCTTGCCCTGTCCAACGTCTTCCCCTCACCCACTTTTCTGTTGTCCGTCCCCCAGGGAGGAGGTCACATATAGTTCCTTGTAATCGGTTCCCTCTTTCCTACCCACTCTCCCTCTACCCTCCCAGTATCGCCATTCACACCACTGGTTCTGTAGGGCTCATCTGCCCTGGATTCCCTGTCTTCTCTAGAGTCTTTGATCAAGCTGTACAGAACAGTAGTCAGTTACCATCCAATCCACTCTTCATTGCCAGGAAATATTTCTCCTAAAAACCATACACAACCATCTCTACCAGGTCAGCCTCCTTTGACCTCCCTGCTGCCTCAAGGCCATGAGCTCACCGCCGAGTATCACGTATAACCCCTTGGTTCCTTTTCCCTGTCCCCCTCAATTCCAGACATCTTTTGAGTGATCATGGACTAGCTTTTACTGAGAGAGTAGAAAAAGGAGCCCTGTGGGGTAGGATGGAACCCTCTGGCATACTGTAAGGTCAGCAGTTCAAAACCACGAGCCAGCTCTTGGGGAAAAAAATGAGGTTTTCTATTCCTGTGGAGTCAGTCTCGCAAACTCTCAGGGCCGTTCTCTCCTGTCCTGTAGGGCCGCGAGGAGTCAGAATCCACTTCCGGCAGTGAGAACGGCAGGCTGTCCTGTGTGAAGTTGCCCGTGCCTGCGTGCTGTGGGCATTAGCAGAACCACCATTAGCACAAAGGCCCGTTCATCTCGGGTGTGTTTCGGGTGTCCCCATGTATTGTTTCTTTGACAAGTTTTTCCATCGCCCATCCTCTTGTCATGTCCCAGTAGTGATAAACTATGTCTACTAAAGCCCCTGGGCATATATTTCCTTTCATTCAAACCTTTCTTTCCTTCAGGGGGCGCTCAGTATGATCAAAATCACATAATCCTCAACACCGTCAGCCAAGAGAAGTTGACGCAAGTATGGGAAGCCATGGTTCTGTAAACCCGAGACTGCCCTCTCTGGAGGCCCTCCGGACGCTGTGTGAAAACGAGGCAGTGCAGACAGAAGAGCCCAAAGGGAAGATGGCGCCCCTTCCACCGAGTCATTCTGGTGCCTACTTGAGTCACTGCCGTAACCGGGGCAAGTGCCTCGTCTCCTCTAAGACTCCTCGTTTTAAACAGCTACTTGCTCTCCTCTCATTTCTTGTCCTTCCTTTCCATCTCGATTTACACAGGTTGTCTCAGGAACAGCTTTGGGGGCGGGGGGTGTCTTTTAAAAAGGTCATATTAAAACTTAAAAACTGTAGTTTAAATTATTTTCCATGCATAACAGGAGAGCATATGAACAAATGTACCAGTTTTTGTGGGCCTACAGATCCCTTACGCTTTAAAAGGTAGGCCCAATGCCTAAGTTTGTAAGGGCTAAGAGGACTGTTTAGCCCTTGGGAAGAAATGCTGGCAGTTGAGCCCTTGACCTTGTCTTTCATAGGATCATGAATTCTGTTTCACAGCAGAGTGAGGAAAGCTGTACATCTTCAGACCTATTGTAAAGAACTGACTTAGGTGTTAACAGAGGAGTTTCGGTGAACACTCAAATTTAGTAAATGGTCTGCAGACGTGTATTAGCAGGATTTACGCTAGTTTAATTCGGGCAGCCACAGTGAGAAAGTGCTGCTGGAACAGTGTCACCACATCTAATGCATTAGTCTGTCTTCCCCGCCTACGAGGGCTCAGGCACCGCCATGCAGCCCCCCCGCCATGCTCCGGGCTTTTCGCCTCACCTTTCCCACCGGCCTGTCCTGGACGGCCGGCACAGGCCTGTGTGTGGCTGCCTTCCCTGTGGGGTTCCACAGCCAGGTTTTGAGGCCCAGCGACGTCTGAGGGTCCTGCAGCCATGCTGTGTCACTTGTTTCTGGTAGCAGGAGTCAAAAGAATGACCAACAATCCCTCAAGAAACGGAAGAACAGACCTTAGGGGATGTTTCGGGGTCAAATCTCAGAAGTCTGGGATCCTTACAAGGCAAGCAAGCATCTGAAGAAAGAACGTTGAAAATGTGTAACTGCTGACAACACACTGGCCCAGAGGGTGCTGTTCAAACAGTTCTAGTTTGGAATAAAACTGGTGAACAACCTCACCTGTGCTCTTACTCCATTCTCTGGGACCCCTTGGGCTGCTGGTGCTCTTGCAAAGGAGGAGTGGGTCTCCTTTCCTCTGTCTGCCCATCTGCTTCCACATCTGAAGTTCCCATTCTCTGTGCAGGCAATCGTGGTCGTCAGAGCAGGTGAGCACGTTTGGAAACGAGGTTTACGCGCGAACAGCGGTCCCTTCGTGTCTGTCAGACAGACAGCTCTGATTTTCAGGCCTTCGTATGCATCGTTACAACATGCTACAAGAGCCTGTGTGGGATTCTCGCTCGAGTTAAACTAGTTTCTGGTTAACTATCGACGCAGTCTGAAAGAATCCATTCATTAGCTCCCAGGACACGGCAATAACTGGCAGCTGCCATATTAGAAACAAGTCTCTCGGATGACAAGGCCGGCGTGAGGGGCGCTGGACACCCTTTCCAGCTTCAGGGTCAAGAGTGAGCTCTACTTTCCAGAGGGTGGAAAAGAGGCTAAGTGAGGGCCTCGCTCACCCCCACCTCCCCGAGTGCTCCCTCTCCCACCCGGGGGCATGCGAGGGCAGAGCGGAGATTGTTCCCACTGGGAGTCTAGAGCAGCTGGTCTGTACACCCACAGGTGTCGAGTGTTGTGTGGGCCTTTCCCTTGAAATAGAAGCGTGCTGGTCAGACCTGCCCTTCCTGCAGGCTGCCTACCGAGGGAGGGACAGGAAGAACGTGAGTAGAAAGGTCCCCAAAACGGGCTGACTTCAGAGCTAGCGCCAGCCTCGAATGTGCAGTCCTAAGAACAAGGACAGGGCAGAAATACATAGGATGGCACCACAAGGGGTTTACCGGTGAGGTCCCAAATGGAGCCAGCTGAGGTCAGACAGCGAGGGGGCACTGTCGGACCTGATGGCGAACTAGTTTCCACAGAAAAGCTCGGAAACAAGCAACACGTGTGGAAGACACCCAGCTCCTGTGCATCCACCCTCTCCACTTTCAAGGATAAACCGGCTTGCTGGCTAGAGGGAGGAGTGGTGAACTTCTGTAGCTGTTAGCAGAGCTACAGGTAGTACTGGAGGAAGACCGGCTACAGGTAGGCGCCTGCGGTTATAAACGGATGGAACTGGCTTTACCGTAAGCCCAGTGCCCGTGTCATCGGCCTCCCGCCCAGGTTCTGTGTCACCGCCTTCACCAGAGTCACGCAGGTGTGGGCGCTGTCAGGAAGAACAGTGTTGAAAGAAAACGAAACAAAACTCGCAAACCGCTTCTGTCAACCACAGGGTTTATTCTCTCCGGATCGGGAAGCTCAGAGTGAGCCCTTATCATTAGCCTCAACACAGGGGTGTCTGTCTTCCATTAACACTCCCCCGGTGTGCGCGTGTGTATCATTTTCACGCCATCTCTGCGCTGGCTTGACCGAGGCCCTTTCCACACGAGGGGTGCGTGGAGGGGCTGGGGGGCTACCCGGGAAGCCAGAGGGCTTCCCCACAGAGGTGGGGCCAGGTGAGGCGTGGCTATTGGAGCCACTCTGATTGGGTAGAACTCCTGGCAAAATGTTCCTTTTTAAAATCAAAGTCTAATCTGGGGACAAAAAATATTTGAAAGCAATGCCTAGAAAAAACGTGAGCTGTCAGGTAGAACGTAAAGAGGCAGTCCACGCTGAACCTTACATGTATTTAAACCACAGTGATGACAGTCTTTCCTCGTGCATGCCCTCCTTCCACCTTCAGGAAAGCTTCTGGAACTTTAGAGAAAGGAAAGGTTTGCTCAATAACTGGCTGGATCTGGAAAACAGAAAAAGGCGTGCACTGTTAGGTAAGGAACCATCTATCTTCCACCGCAAGGCCGGTGGGGGGGGGCAGGGGGGGGGTCTGTTTCCCAGTGCACCTGTCTCAGGAGCTCACTGCTGCCCCCTGCTGGAGCCCTCCCTGCTCTCCCAAAGAGACTGAGACTAGGGCTCACCCAACACCAAGCCCGCCCTTTGATGGCTCTCACTGCAGCTGGCACAAATGGGGCTCAGCCCTCCTGAGGACTCTGGGCTTTGCAGCCATGGTCCTCTGGTCGCTCTGAACACTTCCTGTTTGCGGCCCACAACGGGCCACACTCGGCCTGGCACTCAGCACCTTGCCTTTCTTCATTGGCACTGCAGTGTGTGCTCCCTTTGAACTACTGGGATGCACAGGTTGTAGATGAGCACACCTCTGATCTACCCTGCTGTGTGGTAAAACCAAAGGGTGTCTCCGTGGCCCCTTCGGGCATGACCTTCTGGACACTAGTTTTCTGAAAGGGGCTGGCTTAAAATGCAGCGTCCCTACGAAACCCAGGATGGATGAAGCTATAGAGAGAACTAGAATAAGGGCCTCTGGGGGCACAGCGGGGAGGTTCCGGGGACCTGATATCAGGAGTCTAAGAAGGAAGAAGTGTTCTGGAACTGGTAGCAATTGTACAACACTGCTCAATAGGGCTACTGAATGGGATGAGGTCTGGATTAGGCTAATAAAATGGTTTGAAAGAAAAAGAAATGCAGTCCTACCACCCCTTTTAGGACAGCTGCACTAGACTGGCGCTGGTAAGTCAGTGGACTCCCAGGGTCCCAAAGGCTCCGCTCTAGAATGACCCACACTAACTCAAAGACTCCGCCAGAGACCCAGACCCAGACCTGCTGACGCAGACAACGTGGTTACTGAGCACTTTCGTCTGGCTGGTCAAGCCCATTGTGGTGCATAAGCCTAGAGGGCTGACAGTGGCGAAAGTCATTCAGCTCTTCCCCTAAGTGAAATGGAGGGGGCGGGGAGAGGCTTTCAATTAATAGGCAAATGCCACTGTAGGCTGACTCTGACAGCAAGTGGAGAATGGCAGATGGTGAGGCAGTGTCTAAGCGGAGTCTAACCAGCAGAGTGCTAGTCTGCTCGGGATGGGGGAGGGGAAGGCTGCAGTGAGGGGCACTTATGTGATGACACTGCCATAATCACCTGGCATGGGGGCCACGCCTCCCCCTGCGCAGAGCCGAGGGAAGTGACTGATGCAGGAGATGCCCACAGAGGCAGCCCTCTGTTCAGCCTCAGACCCAAATGGAAGCCAACTGTCCCCTGATTGTGCCCTAACCTGAGGGGCTGTACACACCAGGCCCAGGAGAGGGTCACCTGCTGCCTCTGATGGGGCAGCAGGTGGGGGGTAGGGTGCTTTCCAAAGGAATCAATGTGCCCACTTTGAAAAGCATCCAGGACCTGTCCTGAGGTCTCCCTAAAAAAACCCCACAAACGACACCACTTCTAATCAGAGGAGAGGACGCCGAGTCCACATTCTCCCACAGAAACCACTTCAGGCACACCTGCAGCGTCAGGAGCATCGAGACTGCTTCATGAGACCCCGGCCATATCACGGCACATCGTCCACACCTAGAGGTCCCTGAGCAGGCCCCTCCTCTCTCTGCACTCTCCATAGAAGGGGTACGTCCAGTTCCCAATGAGGCACAGGGCGTGCTGGAACACAGCTGATTGTTCTCTTTGGTGCTGGCCATCCCAGGAGGAATTCATTCCCTTTCCCCGTGCAAGGAACCCTATCAAGGGCTAGACAGTGATGATTTTAAGCCGTTGGACACATTTGGTCTAGGCCTCTGTGCATGTGATAATTTTAAATGCCTTTAAATGATAGGAAGCATTCTAAGCTCACCCTCTCACTGCTGTCGAGTCGATGCGAACGCACAGCCACCCCTTGTTTCCGAGACTGTTTACGGGAGTGGAAAGCCCCGTCCTTCTCCCAGCCATGCAGTTCGCAGCCCCTGCGTCACCACACCAGCAAGACTCCTGCTGAGCTCACCGGACCTTGAGGCGGGACTCGCCCTGCTAGCCCCAAGCTAAGATCTCCTGCAAATGCTGTACAATACCTTCAACCCAGGCTGCAGTTGTGGTTTTGAAGTCACTCCACATCATCTAAAAGCAATGACGACGCCGGGGACCAAATGGAAACAAAGCTTCCTTTTGCAGCAAAAATAAATAATAAACAATGACAACATCTGGGTCTTGAAGTGAGAAGAGTGGTTAAAAGTTTTTAACCCATTCATGCCAAGCCCCAGTTCATACAACTGGCCAAGGGGGAGCGGCCCAGTGACAGGGCCTGGGCTGCACTTGGACCTTGTATTATCTATTCAAGGCGTGCTGGTGGCTGCTTACTGCAAGGTCGGCAGTTTGAAACTGGCAGCCGCTCCTCAGCAGAAAGACCGGGCTTCCTACTCCTGTAAGAGTTAATCTCAGACACTCACAGGGGCAGGTCTACCTTGTCCTATAGGGCTGCTATGAGTCAGCATCGACTCAATGGCAGTGAATTTGGTTTGGCTTACTGTTTATTCACACTGTATTTATTATCTGTTCAGAAACTTAAAGGTATTTTGAAAGAGTTGACTGTTGGTTTAAGGTTTTATAGTGTCAACAAGTCCAACATCCACTCCTCCATCAGAAACCTACCGTAGATATTGGTGTATAAACCAAGTTTCTCAGCACATTTCTAATGCAGTTTTTGTGGTAAAATCAGGTGCCTCGGCTGATATTCAGTTGGCTTATACTCGAGTATATATGGTACTAATCCGATTTACTTGGCACTTAGCTTAAGTTTGGAAGAATGTAAATATCCTCTTCCAATTGAACAGATCCATACCTACACAAACATGGGAGGCAGACCTGCCGTGCTCGCCTTTCCGATTCCCCAGTGTAAGCAGGCCACGACCTCTCCCCAGGACCAAGTGACTGGGAAGCAGAGGTCTGACAGGACTAATGCGCTGACCCTCTCCTGGTATCTAGTCTCACAGATCAGCTTCCACGGTCAGAAATGACTCCAGGGCTCAGAGAAACCTGGTCAAGAGAGGGGACAATTCCTCACCCTCCTTCAAGGACACTTTTGGTCATCTTTGCTCCTAGTGTGTCCTCTCTGAACCATTCTACCAGTTATCTGTCACACCTAAAAGGCCACACATACAGGCCACCTTTCTTCTCTGTTGGGTCAACAGCAATTTGCAGGGGGAGAGAGAGTCACAATGTTTTGAATACAAAAGAGCAATGGCAAGCACGTGGCCAGCCGGGATCAGAGGAGGACACGCACAGCCGAGGCCAGAGCTCATAGCAAGGAGAAGTGCTGTTGGGGAGAACAATGGGGCAAATGACATTCCTTCGTCCCAGACATAAGCTCTCCTGAACCCTCCCCAGAGGCACAGATTGATACAGTCATGGTAAGGCTTAGCCCTCTACTACCCACTACCCATCGGCACTTTCAGGAAGTGAGACAAGGCACTCAAGCTCAGGACCCCCACAGGGGAAAAACACTTAACCGGCTCCCTTTTATGAGGTAGTCATGTGACTACACTGGGAAGAAATAAATGCACTAAAATAAGCAGTAGTTCTTGGAAAGATCCTCTTCAGAAACTGAATTGGAAAGGTGAAATGACAAGCGGGAGTGGGGCAAGGTGCCAAGAGCAGAAAGCCTGCTCCAGGTGCTCCTCCCAGTGGTCCTGCGTGGACCATGCAATGGAAGTCTCCGCTCAAGTGCAGCTTCTCTCCCTGCCCTGGGCCTCCACTGCAGTGTCAGGAGAGGCCCGCTAAGCAAGACTCCCTCCCTCCAGCAGGTGGGAGGACTTCAAACAACCCTCTTAGTTAGGTGAGGTTCTGCACTATTTCTTAGACTGGTGGTTCTCAACCTGTGAGTCACGACCCCTTTCACAGGGGTCGCCTGATTCATAGCAGTAGCAAAATGACAGTGATGAAATAGCAATGAAAATAATTTTATGGTTGGGGGCCACCACCACATGAGGAACTGTATTAAAGGCATTAAGAAGGTTGAGAACCACTGCCTTAGGCCCTCTTAATAAAACCATAAATGTCAGTGACAGAAGATGAATTCACCTTTTCGGTTGTCCCTCCTGAGGGGGAGTGCTAGGGCAGCTAAGAGGTTGAAAGAATATAAATGAACAGTTGGTAGCTGAGGAGCCGCTCAACTCCGAATGACCTTGAAAAGCCTTTTGACATCCGGCCAGGGAAACCAGGCTATAAGCAACCACCCACACAGTCTGCTGCAGGCAGGCACGAGTAGCCACGGTGACTCCAGTCAAATCCTTATCAGTCTTCACACCCCGGCCAATGGCCCTCTCAGACACAACATGTATTAACTTTATTGAACTAGCCTGGGAATCGGCCACTAACTGGCCCCAGGTCTGGGGATTGAGATTCTGTAGTGTTTGTTCTCCTGGCTCATCTGAAATTCTGCTTCCCTCGCCTTCTGACTAACGGGGAGCAGGCTCACCTTCTACGCGGAGATGCCCTTTGTGGTGGAGTCTGCCTTTGTTTCAAGACCTTTATGAAAACATTAGCACGGCCTTTCACCAAAGCAGGAGCACCATCGAACCAATCTGGGCCTGCCACTTCCCTGTAAACCACCGGGGGCGGACCAGAGGGAGTAAGCTCTTTCACGTGCAGCCGTCTGTGTCTGTGGCTCCCATGGGCTAGAGGCAAAAGTGGAGCTGCCTTTGGCCTGGGAGACAGCGTGCACACGGTGAGCCTCCCTCTGGAGAACCCTGTAGACCAGGAGGACTGGGGGCAGGTGCCGGCATCAGGCTGTTACAGCAAAGACAAATGGTTGCACGTACCTTCCCGGAATCCACCAGCTCTGCGATCTGGTCTAGACACGGACCACTGGCCATGAAAAAGGCCCACCGATAGTGAACTCCTTGCCAGAAATGCTGAAAGGTGGAGGGAGAATTAACTACAGGAGAGGAAAAAGCAGGGTCTGGAGGAATGAAACAGATAATTCCACATTTCACACCAATCCGATTACATTGGCTTATATCCCCAGCACCTTAGCACGTGACCGACAGGGAATGAACCCCATACATGTCCAACCAGTGTACAACAGAAGAAACACACTGCTTAGTCCCATGCTGTGCCCACAGTGGGTTACGCATGGACCGGACCATTGGAACTCAGGGTGTTTACTGCTGATTGTTGGAGCCGTATTGGCAGGTCTTTCCTTGTAGGCCATCGTAGTCTGGAAGCGCTACTGAGATGGGTTCTGCACCCCAGCAACATGCCATCGACCCGACAGGCGAGGGAGGGGTAGATCCGCATCTCACTGACCAGCTGAGAATCCACACGCTGCACCCGCAACCATGCTCATGTTGAGTATCATTCTTTACGCTGGAGGTAAGATGGTGGGTCATTACTGAAGCAAGTGAGCTAAGGTTCCCAGGACCTCCCTAACCAAACCTCAGTGACCTGCTCAAGTGTTAATGTCCTGAAGGTTTCGGAGATTCACCCAACAGAACTTTGTTGAAGGGCAGCCTGCCCCAGCCTACCCGGCGTTACCGCTTGCTTTGTTACCCTGCCTCGGCCATGATTTATGAAGCTGGCAGGCACGATGGACTCACCTGCTCCTCCAGCTCAGCCCCTTTCCAGTGGTGTTATTTGGGGCAAGCTGCCTCGTAAAGCCTATTTCCCAGCCTGATTGTCGCTTCCTTGTTTATAGAGTTGTTGAACAGAGTAAATGAGAATGTACAATTAGATTATATTAAGTTAAATGTACAATGTCTGACATACAGCAAGTACTCGATTTGTCCCAGTGCTGAAAGTAAAGTTTATGGAAGAGAAACTGGATTGGTACCAAATCACAGCTTACAAATATAGAAAAAGCTACGCTGTTGTCTAAACCAGAGATTCCTAACAGGCATGCCAAGAATGGTTTACCGGTTGAACGTACCATCTAACCTGGAAAAACGGTGAGCGTTAAAGAAGTCACCATTAATAATTAATTACCTCCGGACCATACAGGCAAAGAGAGACAGGCTCTCCCCACAATGGATGTGAGGGGGCATTGATTCCCCCAGTCCTCAGGATGGCAGGGTACCGCTGGGGTTGGCAGAAGTCTCCAGGTAGTTTGCTCTTGGCCCCTAACAGCCTCGATGCACCATTCAGATTCCATCATTTCATATGCGCATCGTGGCATGAAGGAGGTGGTCTAGGCACCCTCACTTGAAAGAGAAATCAGCAATGCTGCTGGAGGTCTGGTTGGGAGCTGGCTAAATGCCAGCAGCCCTGGGAACGGTCCCAATGTACAGCAGGCCCAGACCTATGGAAGAGCGGCCTCCCGGACTACAACATGCTGCCGAGTGTTGAGCACTCAGGAGGAGCAGGAATGGCTGCAGTGTTGGCCTGTTCAGTGAAATGATGGGCCTGGGACAGCGGCGTTGTCATCATCTGTTGTCAGGGGTCCGTGCTGGCTTTCCCTGCCAGGCCATTCTGGGAGAGAGAGGAAGCTGAAGCAGGCAGGGGAGTCGCAAACACCCCAAAGGGCCTTTAACTGGGCACATTCTCAGAAAGACATCAGAAACTCCTTAAAAGGCCTCCACGTGAGACCTTTCACCATATCTCATCTTTCCAGCGCGCCGGGGTGGAGGGTGGATGCCGGGCCTGCTGTGGTCTCCGAGGACAGCCTGCAGGTCAACTGGTTCTAAAGAGCTGCTTGGAGCATACCCTGGAGCCTCGTGGCGAATGCGTACATTTTCATGTGGAAACTCTGGGTTTCTGAGAGCAGACGGAGGTTCCCTTTGCCACCACAGAGCACCCCGTGGATGCAGCTTCTGGCTGCCACCAGAACCGAGTGAAAATGAAGACCAGAGTGGAGCTGATGCTTTGCTCACCTCTGATGCCCACCGTGTTGTGAGACTAAAGAAGAATTTATGGACTAGTACTGACATATGGGGTAATACTGGACTTACAGACTTGATGTGGACTGGGCTGGGATGTTTTCTTAATGTACAATTGCTCTTTGATATAAAGTTCTCTCTTACAATGAGTGTCTCTGGATTTGTTTCTCTAGTCAACCCAGACTAACACAATGCCCTTCTCCAGGGACTGGTCTCTCCTGAAAACATATCCAGAATAAGCGAGACAAAGTTCATCATCCTTGCCTCTAAGGAACATTCTGGCTGTACTTCTTCCAAGACAGATGTGTTTGTTCATTTGGCAGTCGATGGTACTTTCAGTATTCTGTGCCAATACCATAGTTCAAGTGTATTGAGTTTTCATTGGGCTTCTTTATTCACTGCCCGACTTTCACACGCATGTGAGCCAAAGGAAAATGCCATGGCTTGGGTCAGGTGCACCCGAGTCCTCTAAGTAGGAGCCGTGCTTTTCAACACTTTAAAGAAGTCTTGTAAGTGAATTTACCTAATGCGACGTGTTCTTTGATCTCTTGACTGCAGCCTCCGTGAGCACTGATTGTGGATCCAAGAAAGATAGAAACCGTGACAACTTTAACCTGCTCTCCATTTATCATGATGTTACCTATCGGTCCAGTTGTGAGGATCTGGGTTTTCTTTATAATCCACACTGAAGCTGCAATCCCTGATCTTGATCAGCAAGTGCCTCAAGTCCTTCACCCTCACTTTCAGCAGGCAAGGTTGTGTCATCTGCATATTGCAGGTTATTAATAAGCCTTCCTCCAACCCCGATGCTGCACTCTTCTTCAGATAATCCGACTTCTCTGATGATCTGCTCAGCACGCAGAGTGAATACACAGTGAGGGGATGCACTCTGGTGTACACCTTTCCTGATTTTAAACCACGTAAACAACGCAGTATTCCCTTGTGCTGTTCACACAATTGTCTGTTGATTAGCACAGTAACTGGTCCCCATTAGCACAACTAACTGGTGTGGTATTCCCATTGTTCTCAAGGCTGTCTGGAGTTTCTTACAAAATACCCATATGTACATAGTTTACACGTAGTATTCCAAGACTAACATACTAAATTTCACATCTAGGGACCATAAATTAATTTCCAGAATAAACTAGAACAGAAACATCATGATAGCTGGCTCACAGATGTGTGTCACTGTAGGCTGGATCAACACATTGGCTCATACATTTTTACCAATGAAGAACCTTATACTGTTTTACTCTTGAATCAAAAATATTTTGTCTCATTAGAAAAATAGGCTCTATCTTTTGGTATTATTTTATTCTAGAGCTTATTCCATTCAACCCAAATTCTGATTGTAACACAGTAACCCAGAATCACTAACAGCTGGAGACATGACAGCATAGAGACCCGTCATGCTAACAAGTTAAGCAGTGAGCACAGACTCTGATGTTGGCCCCTTAAGTCAGGCTGCCTTGTTCAACTCTCCAAGACCCACTGCACACTGAGTGTGTCCAGTTTGGTAGTCAGAGCTCCAGGTGGCCCTGGGAACAGAGTGAGGCTGACTCATCAAGGCCCGGACTACCATCATGCCATCGACAGCTAGGGTTTCAGATTTACATGGATATTAATGTTAGTAGAACAGGTTTAAAATTCCAGCAAAGGCATGATGGTTCTGATGGCCTCGGTAGACTCAAGGGTACTCAATGGTACAATTTCCTTCAAGTTATACCAAAAAAAAAAAAAAAAAAATCTCCCTGGACAGCTAAAGAGCTAATAGTCCCAGCCTTGGCATCACTGGCTCATCCCGATCCAGCCATCAAGGAGGAGTGAGCTGTACCCTGTCTGAAATGTTTTCCCCTTCACATAGTTAAAGCTGGTGCAGCAGAGAAAGAGTGACCAGGTAGCAGCAAAAAGAAAGCAGAAAATGTACCAAATGGGATCAAAGGAAGTAACAATGACTAATAAGAAAGCTAACATTAAATATGTGGGTTTTTTATGAGTAGGTATTAGATACTAAATTCTCTGCATGGATTATCTAACTTAATCTTTATAACAGCACAGTGAGTTGATGCATCACTTGCCTATTTTTACAGGTATGATTGTTAAGGTGATAAGTCAACACGGCCAGGTTGTGACTTCTAGTGACTTGGCGAATCCTATGGAATCACCCTCCACTGTGTGATTTGCTGAAAAAAGCCCATCCGTTGGGAGGGCAGTCCCCTGTGAGTGTGGCTGCTTCCAATCTGTGTTAGGCAAAGCTCCCACGCCCTCCATCCTGCATCTCTGGTCTGACTTGCTGCTTTTAGGTTCGTCAGCCCAGCAAGCACTTGAGAAAGATCGAGCCCAATGCCTGACTGACCCAGAGATCCAGGTCTTATCAACCTCCACATGACAGGAGCCATTTTCTTGAAGTAAGTTTTTGTATATGAGTGTATGTATGTATATATATGCATACAACCACACATAAACATGTATGTGTGTGTACAGACATATATCTAAGTCCCCCAGTGGTGTGTGTGTGTGTAGTCACTCGTTTTGCCCCTCTAGAAAACTCAGCCGAAGACATTCGATGTAGACACAGGGGCTGAGAGCTGTTAAGCTCCTTGCCCAGGGCCACGCAGCTACTCAACGGAGGCCCGAAGTGGAGCCTCATCAGCGTGGCTCCACAATCCACCCCTGCAGCACCAGCCCTGCTGCCTCCAGAAGAAGAGAAACGGTCTCCATGGGAAACCCACTCCCAGACGCATGAGGTAGCCACCGGCTCCACCAGCCAGGCCTCGGCTTTGTTGGTTACCTTCAATGCCTTTGAGCCCACGGTGACTCCTGTCTGCAGCATGCCGTCTGCTATGCCCAGCCTGTCCATGTTCATGAGGAAAGGCGTCACCAAGGTGACGTAGGTGGCTCCTGACCATTTCTTCAGAAAGCCTAGAGCCCACTTTTCAGTGGATCCACCAACATTATCGAGGATGAAATCAAACCTGGAAAGAAAAAAATGAAAAACAAAAGACCCTTCTCAGTCTTGATCCAAGCTCCGATCTCTCTCTCCCTCTCTCGTTGCCAGGGGACTCTTGGGTTTCCTTTGGGGGACAGCTCACAAGTCACCCTCCAGCACGTTCGTTACCCAGGAGGTATGGGGAGAGAACACAAGAGGCAGTTGCTGGGACTCTGGTTTTTCTCCAAGATCAGGCAAACATGGCTGCTGCTGTCCTTTCCCCAAATCACACTTCCAATGCTTTAAGAAAGACTTCAGCAAGTCGTTTCTGCCCCCACCGCTCCACCCCCAGCTTCTAAAACCAGTTTTGGCCAACTGTGTGATCTTGATTCTTTCACGGGCCTAAACTAAGGGCAAAGACAACAGAGAGGGAAACTCCGAAGAACGACCTGATGGATGATAATTCTCCTCATTATTAAAGTTTGTGCTCCACTGCAAAACTTTTAATAAATGAACATGGGATACCTGATTGAAAGATGACTTAAGGGCAGCTTGTGATCTTGGAAGAAGCCCTAGTGGTGTAGTTGGTTATGCTTTGTGCTAACTACAAGGTCAGCAGTTCTAACCCACCTCCTGCTCCACAGGAGAAAGGCTTTCTGCTCCTGTAAAGCTCTGTAGCCGCAGAAACCCTTGAGGGCCCTTCTACTCTGTCCAATCAGTTGCTATGGCAGGGAGTTTGGTTGGAGATTTTGGTTTACACACACACATACAACAAATGGCTAACCTCCACCCCCACCCCACCTCCACTCAAGTACCTGGCATTTGAAAACTAATCAACAAATGGTTAACCGCTGAGTTCGAGGCAGCGAGCAGCTTTCCCAGTGCCCCGCAGCTGTGATGTTGGCTAGGGGTGGAGCAGAGGACCGAGCAGCCCCTCTAGTTCTGCCCCAAGCCACTGCTGCCATCAGCGGGGCTGACAGACCTCCTCAATCTGCTCCCACTCAGGACAGCAGGCTGACCCACAGCCTCCAGACAGTCAGACGATGAGCACATCCAGCATCCCCAGGATCACTCTTCACACTTGCTCTGCTTCTCGGAAGCCTTTATGAAGCCCAGACACCAAAAGGCTGTGTGGTGCTAACCAGTCACGTTCATGCCCGGCTGTCTGTACTTCTGTGATGACGGAGGCCACCAATGGAATGCGCAGCCAAGCCAGCCCTCCGCCCTCTCACCATCCAACAGTAAGTAAAAGCAGGTTCAATTCAAATTAGCCAAGGACCATGTAAGCAAACTATCACCCTGAGTCCATGCCACATTGCGTTACTGTGCTGTCTCCACAGACGTCATGCTGGGAATGGCGTGGCAGGTTTTTATAGGTTCTTCTCTAAAATTCCCACACGATAAAGCCACCAAACGATCTCAGGCCGTCCTTATCCACCGCCTGGCTCCGTCCCCCCACGGTGCCCACTGCAAGCATACGTACGGTTTTGAGGTCTTCAGCTGCCCCTCGACCTCGCCAGATTTGTAATCAATTACATCATCTGCCCCAAGCTTCCTTACAAGGTCACTGGCATCCTGAGAGCAAACGGCTGTCACGTGCGCTCCCCATGCTTTCACCACCTGCCGAAAAACGGAGGGCGAGGCACTAAGGCTGCTGCTTCAAAATACAGTTGGCACCAGGTATATGCGTACCAGCTTCATCTCTAGGTGCGCTGAGGGCATGGTCTAACAAGAGCCAGAGGAATGCCCTTTTTTTTGAGCCGTCTTGGAGGCTGCTTCACCAGGAAGCTGGACATCCCCATCCCAGCCACTGGCCACCAGCGATCCACTGAAGTGGGCGGTGAATGCAAATTTCACACCTTTTAGGAGACGCAATGGCCACAGAGTGGCTGCTGACTTGCTGGGTGATGGATGGAAGGGTTATGTTGTCCGAATCAGAACCACGAGCAAGGCTTCCCTACAAGGCGGGTCTCCTGAGCCATGGCTGTGGTTAAAGGAAGGGCTCTCCTGGCACAGCCAAGCAGAACTGTGGAGAGGGGGCGCAAGTCTACCTGGGTTGCCTGGTGGAAGCCAATCTGAGTGTTCTCCACCTGGTCACTGTAAACAGGACTGAGACACTGTGCCTTGTCACCTGGGGGCCAGAAAAGCAAGCATCCACTCTCTTTAAAGAAGATAACGTTCTCCAGTGTGTTGTGAGAACAGCCCTGCACCAAGAGGGCAGGCGGCCTGGGGTCAAAGCGCCCACGATTCCGTGTCTTGTGACTCCACGTGGAGGGGGCGGCAGAAAATGCCACGCTTTGGGCCCAGAGAATGGAGAGGCCAAAGGAAACCATCAGGAGCAGAGGGCCGAGAGAGAGAGGCTGTCCCCTCTGAGAGCTTCTTACCTCTGAGTCCAGTCAAAAGTAAAATAGATTTCTAAGAGTGTCAAATAAATAAGTCAACCTGGTTTTTTTTTTCTAAAGAACTATAGGACGCCATCTGTCAAGGACTAGAAAAAATGAATAAACTTTCTCACCAAGAAATAAATCTCAGATCCCCCAAACAAGCCAGCCAGCCACCTTACTGTCATGGGATTATGACCAAAATTCACTTAGAGAAGGGCTCAGCACCTCCCCAGGCCAGGGAGACTGGTCAGCAACCTCAAATGGCGTGTTCTCAGTGATGACACAGGGGGATGGTCAACACAGAGAGGCCACGTGCCCTTTGGAAAAGTGACTGTTTTATAAGTTTGTCCAAACATAGACACACCCTCCCTTTGCATCTCCAACAAGTACAAGTGCAGCACCGCGTCAGGAAGGACATAATAAAAAGGTCCCTTTAGAAAGAGCCAAGAGTAGTGGCTCTGTGTTGGGCTGCGATCCGAATGGTCAGCAGTTCGACTCCACCAACAGCTCCTTGGGAGAAAGACTGGGCTTTCTACTCCTGTCAATAGTTGCCGCCTCAGAAACCCACAGGGGGGTCTGCGAGTCAGCATGGGCTCGATGGCAGTGAGGGTGTAGAATGAGCAGGGAGACAAAGGGCCATTGTACTTTCAAACTGTCGATCAGGTCTTCTCTGTTAGAGCAGAAAGATCCACCATGGGTTTCTAGGATTAAAGATGAGGATGCCTTATATACCAAAATATCAATAACCAGATGTAAATAAAAAGAAGTGCTATATTCCGATGTGATTCAGATTGAGTATCTCCAACAATGGGGAAGTAAACTCCCTAAATTGCTAGAATTCTCTTCTATAATGCCAAATTCACAGAATCAAAGGAAGCTGTTTCCAGACAATTTGAGACTAACTACTTAAAGTGAACCCAAGAACTTTGTACTGACAGTTCTGTGTCAGCTACTTTCTCAATTCTGCTCTGAGCACCAGCTTCATGAGCTCCCCTACTACAAGTTACACAGATTTCCTGGGATCTAAGGGCTCTGTGTTCTTTTGTTCACGGTGAAATTCCTACTCCCGAGTCCGGAGACCGCTTTGGTATTAAATAAACATCTGTGAAAGGGTTTTTAACAGCACTCATATCGGCTTTCTCTCCTTTTTCACTTTTAAAAAGCAATGCTGGCGATGAGAACACTTATGAGTGACATCATCTACAAGTTACTGTGTTTATGGACTGAAAACCAACACGCTTGGGAATGATGTGCTTTCAACAGCAACTTGCTAATGAAATTCAACAGGTGACGAGTATAATCCAAGGTGAATAGCTCATTTGTCACCATGCTTTCTCATGTGTTATACATATACATGCAAGGGGGCTTCAAAAATTTTGCAGAAAAATCCTATAATATTTTAATTCCATTTTCCACAGACTTTTTACCACCCTTCTAAATAATATAAACAAAGACAGTTTAAAATCTATTATATACAGATCAGAAAATTGCAAAAGGAAGCTCGAGAAGACAAGCAAGAAGTATTAGAGTGAAATATACAAAGACCTGGAGTTGGGGAAAGCCAATGGGAAGAAAATGTTCAAGAACTGAAGAAAAAATCCAAGCCTTGAGCTACTGGATTGAAGGATTCTAAGCGCAAAGTAATGCAGGAAGTATCAGAAGAAGATGGAAGAAACATACTAAGTCACTGTATGGAATCAGTTGATGTTCAACCATTTCAAGAGGATGGTCATGATCAAGAACCAATGGTACCGCATAAGCAAATGTGGCGAAGAAAGCTGATGGTGCCCGGCTATCAAAAAGTATAGCATCTGGGGTCTTAAAGGCTTGAAGGTAATCAAGCGGCCATCAAGCTCAGAAGCAACAAAGCCCACATGGAAGAAGCACACCAGCCTATGCAACCACGAGGTGTCGAAGGGATCAGGTGTAAGGCATCATCAGAACAAAAAATCTTACCATAGTGAATGATGGGGGGAGTGCGGAGTGGAGATCCAAAGCCCATTAGTAGGCCACTGGAGATCCCCTTGCAGAGGGGTCTCGGGGAGGAGATGAGCCAGTCAGGGTGCGATGTAACAATGATGAGAAATACAACTTGCCTCTAGTTCCTAAATGTTTCCTCCCCGCTCCCACTACCATGACTCGAATTCGATCTTGCAAGTCTGGCTAGACCAGAGGAGGTAAACTGGTACAGATAGGAACTGGAAAATACAGGGAATCCAGGACGGATGAGCCCTATAGGACCAGTGGTGTGAGTGGCAAAACAGGGAGGGTAAAGGGAGAATGGGTAGGAAAGAGGGAACCGATTACATGGAACTGTGTGTGACCTCCTCCCTGGGGGACAGACAACCGAAAGGTGGATGAAGGGAGATGTCGGACAGGGCAAGATATGACAAAATACCCATTTATAAACTATCAAGGGCTCATGCGGGAGGGGGGAGCGGGGAGGGAGGGGAAAATGAGGACCTAATGTCGGGGGTTTAAATGGAGAGAAAAGGTTGTGAGAAACGATGTACAAATGCGCTTTACACAATTGATGTGTTGTATGGATTGGGATAACAGTTGTATGAGCCCCTAATAAAATGTTAAAAAAAAAAAAAGAACCAATGGTACCAAAAGTGGACGTCCAAGCTGCCCTGGGGGCATTAGTGAAAACCAGGCTTCAGGAACCGAGAGAACACTAGGGCAATGTCTCTGCAAACAGATGCAGCCAGGGAGCACTCACTGCCAGGAACCAAAGACCAACACCCACACCCTGGAGGAGAGCCAGACTTGTGCCCATTCCACAGAATGGTGGCCCAACAGATTACTTAGAAATTATGGGATCATATCATGAATATCACATGCAAGTAAAATTTTGCTGAAGATCATCTAAAAATGGTGCAGCAGCACACTGACAGGGAGCTGCCAGAAACAAGCTGGATTCAGAACAGGCGGTGAAAAGAGGGATAGCATGGCCGGCACCAGCTAGGTCTTGGCGGAAAGCAGAGAAGACCAGAAAGCTGTATACTTGTATTTCATTGATTATGCAAAGGTACTGGGCTGCATGGATCATAACAAACTACATATAACATTGAGAAGAGTGGGAATTGCAGAACCCGTCCTTGTGCTCATGTAGACGAAGAGCCGCGGTTCAAACAGAAGGAGGTAATATTGCACAGTTTAAGATCGGGAAGGTGTGCAACAGGGTTGCATCCATGCACTGTGATCGTTCAATCTGTTTCCAGAGCAAACAATCCAGAACGCTGGACTATATGTAGAAGACTGCGGCATCAGCACTGGAGGAAGGCAAGCTGCATAAGCAGATAACATAATCCAAGAGTGAAGAGGACTTCAGGCGTTTGCTGTTGAAAATCAAAGGCTGTGGCCTTCAGCCTGGATTGTAACTCAATGTAAAGAAAATGGAGAAAAGACTAAAGTTGTTGAGGATTTCGTTTCACTTGGCACTTGGCACCACAATCAATGCAAGAAGTCTGATGATCTATTGCACCGGGCAAATCTGCTGCTCACCCAAGACCTCTTCTAAGTCTTAGAGAACAAAGACAGCATTTGAGGATTAAAGTTCACCTGACCCAAGTCTTGGTATTTTCCATCCCTCAAAGGTATCTGAAGGCTGGACAGTGAAAATGAAAGACTGTAGAAGAGCTGGAACTCAGGTGGTAGAGCGGGTTAAGCAATGGGCTGCTAACCCCCAAGGTCAACCGTTCGAACCCACCAGCTGCTATTGCTGGGCGGAAGATGAGGTTGTCTGCGCCTGTCAAGGCTTAGAACTGAAAAGCCCTGGGAAGCAACTCTACAATGTCCTCTAGGGTCACTATGAGCCCCATTTACATTCCATTTTTCGGAGAACAGTATTGCATGTGTTTATTTACTATGATCCACTTTAAGTTTTAGTTGTCATTATTCTATGATATAAGGTTCACTGAGATTGTTTTTAAAAAATATATTAATATAGTTATTCCAGTACCACTTGTTAAAAAGATTTCTCTTGAAGCAACAGGACTGACAGTTCCAGGGGGACATGGGAGAGGGGTGATGGGGGGAAAGGTAGTGGTGTTAACAAACCCAGGGACAAGGGAACAACAAGTGATCCAAATCGGTGGTGAGGAGGGTGTGGGAGGCCTGGTAAAGCATGATCA